AACAGGGTGTAACTTGCCGCCAGGGTCTGTGATCCCACAGATCAGAACTAAATACCCGATTGAATTGATCTTGTAGGTTGCATCCCAATGAAACACAAACGTCGATGGGTCCCGATTCATCTGTCGGAGCAGCGCTTTCGTCGTCATTCCAACCTTGAACACACCAGTCGAACCACCGTAGCCAACTTGTGGTGCCCCGTCAAGCACCTTGAAGCCGAACGAAGAGTACCGACACTCATCACTCGGCGGGACAACGTGCTCACCAAAGGGCGACCCAGACCACTCTCCCGGGACATGCGGCTGGCCAGTGGGCGGCGCAGTCCAAAGCTGACCGATGGGCGGCGCAGACCACTCTCCCCGGACATGTTGCTGACCGATGGGCGGCGGAGACCACTCTCCCACTCGCTGGACCAATGGATGCAGGAGGGGCGGCGCAGTCCAATGCTGCTGGATAGGCGGAGACGACCAATGCATTCCTTGTCGGACATGTTGCTGCTGGGCTGGAGGCGCAACCCAATATGGTTGTGCGTGCGGTGGAGACCAATACTGCTGGATTGGTGGTGTTGACCAATGTACAACGGGTTGCTGGAAGGACGATCCATACCAATGCGATGCAGACCAAAGTCCCTCTGATGGGACATGTTGCTGCTGGATGGGCGGTACAAATCGGGTTTGCATGAGCAAAGCGACCATTGCTGCTGGCTTGTTGTGCTCATCCATACAAACACTGCGGTAATACCCAGCGCGGTTTTGGAACACCTTCACATGCGGCATATTCGTTGCATGCACGAACTCCTTCAATCGGTGCTGTACCCTGCTTGGCGGGATTCCCTCTGCAAACAATCTGTCGGCTTGGTTTCGAATGGTCCGTGTCATTGCATTGGACATTGGGCCGTGGCAGTCACCGTACTCTTCACGCTTGTACGCCACACTTCTGTCGTCAAGCGAGCACTGAAGAACTTTGAGTCGCTTTGCGCAATGCTCTCGGCAAGTGCATTTTAGGTATCGGAGACGCATGTGGTGTATTCCCGATCCCAGGCAAATGGTGCAGCGAACCTTGCCGGTCAAAGTGATTGAGCAGGGGGCCAAATGGTCCTTAGCATCATCGAACGAACCAAAGTCTCCCACCATGATCCATGTGTAGTTCACTCGGGGTTGAGATCGTTTGCGTTGGTTGGGCCAGTCGGGCACTACAACGAGTTGTCCCTCCGACTGTTCCCTCGCTTCTCCCTCCTCGTCACCGTAGTCGACTTCGCCCACACTGTTCGCAGCAGAAACGCTCTCCTGCTCGTTGTTCGCCTCTGCAACAGGCGCGAGCCACAGCAGGCGTTCTACACATGTTCCCAGTTGGAGCTCCATGACCTTGATTGGTGGTGACCTTGACAGGTGGTGACCTTGATAGATGGTGACTCTGATTTTTTTGCTGTCCCTCTGTTAATTATATGGCCCTCCACGAAGTTGTACTTGGATAAAGTATAGTTGCAATCTAATGTCACGCTATTATTGAAAATATATCGGAGAATCCCCAGCAAAATCGACACAACGTTTGTGGTGCCGAGTTTGACCACCATGAACACATGCAACGACAAATTAATACCTTGGTATTTGAAAGCACGGCTTACTTTTAATTCAATCAAAGCTCTCACCTCCAAGTCGACCACGGGTTGGTGAGTGAGTGGCGCATTTTCGATTTCGTGAGTGGCGCATTCGATATCGGCGAGGTCATGAGCTGTGCACCGGCGAAGCGTCCTCGTGAACGACAGAAAATCTGACCATCGGCAAGCGATCCCAAGTGGCACCGAATGCCACCGCCCCCCCTACACCAGCCCAGAACGCATCGCAATGCTGTATTGCAGGCCACGTCGCTGCAAATGGTGAAGACTGTTTCATCGAGAGCGAAATTCGAAGGAAGTACCTCGAATTGGATGCGTACCTGCAATCCACGACCCAAGGTGAAGTCCCACCCGGTCCAAAGTGATTACGCACCATGCGACATGGCCCATGCCCAGTCGAAACCCAAATGTCGAAAGACTACCCAGACTGGCCCTCGCTCGTCCCCTCAGCCGATCCGCACTACACCACATTCCTCAGCCGCCAAGCCAGCGCCAAATGACCCTCCACGCAGTCGTGTTTTGGGTCATATGACTCCGTACGCCACTTTGACCGGCCCATATTTGTCCCCCACCTCGATCCACGCCGCACCAGAGTCCACCGTCACCAAGCCGACAACAAACCCCCTCCCAAACACTGATAACGATAGCCATCAAGAAGACACCCCCCGCCCAGCTGAAAATGCAGCAGACGTAGAAATCATCGCCCTTTGTGATAGCGACGACTCCGAAGTGCAAGCCTTTGAAGCCTTCAAGGCACTTCGGTGAGCAAGCAAAATGGAAAGGGAACAACAGCTCAAGAAAAAGTACGAGCAGCACCAAGTTCGCATGAAGTTTGAGGTAGTGGTACTACCTCACAACTGCCCTCACTGAGGTGTGCCATCACATTGATGACTTCTGCCCGCGACCAACAGCCTTGCCCCAAGGCGTGCACAATCGTCTCGTGGTGTAGCATTCGGCACCGACACACACAACCCGCACTGCCGTAGATGTTCGAAGCAGTTTCCGTGCACAATAGTCCGGCTTTGCGACAACCTCCTCACGCAGACGGAATACGCCCCAGGACGATGCAGTGCTAATGAGCATTGCCAAAACCAAACCATTTCCAAGAAACTCTTCCCCCCCACAACAGTTGTTGCTGATTCAAAGTTGACCCATGCATTGCGCGTCGATGAAGGTGTCCCTCCAGGAACAAAAATCATCGAGTACGTGGGTGAACACATCGGCAAAGAAGAGGTTGCAGCACGGAAGTAAAAGCGTCATGGCGCGAAGAATTGGTACATCGCGCGTGTGGGCACCAACGGAGACTTGTACGTTGACGCCTCGAAGTTCGGTAACAACTCGCGGTGTATCAATCATGCCTGCGTTCCGAATTCCCGCTTCGAGGTATGGTATGTAGACACTAAACCAAGACTCATGGTGGTTGTGAACACTGCTCTCGAGCATGGCACTATATTGACGCTCTCTTACATGAACGCGGCGTAGAGCATCACTTGCGTATGTGGGGCATGCGACGGTGGCTACAATCTTGCTGATATTGTTTAATTAACAGTAAATGAATTTTTTCTACAATCTTAGTGGTCGCATCAATTCAGGACATGCCGCGACGTTTCGGAATGCTGCTGGATCTAGATTTCATCCAAGATTCATTTTGCAAAACCAGATGATCTGCCAGAATGCTGTAATGTTAGTACTACATAGTAGTACGTATTTCGCTGTGGTGGTAATTATCCCACCTAATTCTTGACATTATCGGTGATCGTGCGCACATCCTTGAACTTCAAGGGCTGTTTTTGGCCCATCTGGTGAATTTGGTGGCCCATCACACCGGTCAGTGTGATAAAAACGCCATTATATCAGAATTTTGGTGGGTCTTAACGTTTTTCATACCCGGCTTAACGATTTTGAGCATTCCTTAACGTTTATATCACGTTACCTTTGTAGTGGGTACATACCTGTCTATATGTATAGTATGGAGTCCATTTTTTGGTCGTCCATCCGGGGGAGTACAGCGGGCTATGTACCTCCATCTGTTGGATGAGACAGGCAAGAGTGACGTAATGATTGGAGATGCAACAAGACCAAGCACATGTTGTTCGGATTCGTTACCTCTTGGAGGCAGAGAGTGAATACTACAGTACTACCGTGAAGGATACACAGTAGCAGTATTGTCCTTTTACCCAAAATTTGGACTTTTGTGTTGATTCGCCAAATCTATCCATGGATTCTCTTTACTGACTTTTGTATGTAAAAATGGTCAAGTGTCACACTAATCTCATTCACACACTAATTCGATATTGAATTGGTCGAAGAGTGGATTTGATTGGCTACGTTTTGAGTGTTCTGAGTTTTGATTGGTCGATCGATTGTCTGCCGATTTGGGCTGCTCATAATCTTGACAATACTTATAATTTGAAGTACCAGGTAATAACTAGTA